GCCAAAATTACATTTTTGCGAAAATACCTCCAATAGGTATAAAGATTCAAACGAAAATATCAGATTCGTGTATTTAGATGAAACTTGGATCTACCAAAACGGATCTCAAGTTCGTCGATGGATACACGAATCTGATATGAAAAGCCACCCATCCAAAATTAAGTCAGAGGGGAAACGTTTTACTATTTTGCATGCGGGGAGTAGTTCTGGGTTTTTAGATGGTTGTGATTTTTTTTTAGATTCAAGAAACAATGACAGAGACTACCACAATACCATGAACGCGGACATTTTCCAAAAATGGGTCGTTGATCAACTAATTCCTGCATTGAATTTATCTGAAGAGAAATGTGTAATAATCATGGACAACGCTCTATATCATTCAGAGCAGAAGGATAAACCATCTTCATTCTCTTCAAAGAAAGACAAAATGCAGGAATGGTTGGTTAAACATAACGTAGACTTCGACACAAAAATGACCAAAAAACAACTATGGGACCTAACTCAACCATTTCGGAATAGACCAAAACAATACAAAATTGATGACATTTTGAAAAGCCACAAACACGAAGTTCTTAGATTACCTCCTTATCATTGCCAATATAATCCTATTGAAATGGCATGGGGGTTAAGTATATTAACACTTTCTCAAAAAATGGCCTTATGTAAAAATTGTCGAGATCTTACCCACCCTCCCATGCCTTACAACCCTTTCAAAAAGATAAGGCTTTGTGACAATCGATCCTGGGAAGATATTTGGAAAGAGAAGAAGAAGAATATTGTGACGGAAAAATCTCAGGGACCAAACCCGAAAAAAAAGTTACTGCAAAAACATATTTATGCTATTGAGCTTACTGTTATGGTTACGTTTAATTAATAAATTGAATAATTTTACTATTCGAATTTACTCAGATATTTTACACATTCTGGCAACTCGGCTTTCTGTTTCATAACCCTGAAATTTGAAAAATATTTTGTCATCAAATGTCATTATTATACGAGGGTCAACCTGTCAAATTTCCATGGATAATGCTACGCCAATAATAAGTGAAAAGCATATATGTACCTAATAACAAGTTATTGCCAACTTTTTCCATGTATTAACAAAATATTTCCAAGTATTGCCAGGTATTTCCCTAGTATTATCACATATTTGATATTACCAGGTATTGCCATGCTATTGACAGACTAAAATCAAATATTTGTCTTGCTAGAATTCTAGGTATTGACATGTCATCCACAGGTATTTACATGTTATTAATGGGTATCAACCAATGACATTAACGTATTATATTGCCTAGATATCTGCAAGTATTGTTGACATATATTGCCTACATAATTAACAAGTAGGTATTGCATAGTATTGACATAGTATTGACATATAATAACCAGTGATTTGTACACCGATTAACAAGATGAAAACCCCCTCGGTCAGGACAGGGACAGAGTGAGCAGTAAGCAGTAAGAGAGTTCGTATTCGTATTGCTTTTTTCCATTTTTTCATAATTTGTTAGGTACTTTGAAAAATTGGCTGACAATTTCATTACATTCAACGGAATGGCAGCAAATATCCAGTTAAGTTCCCCGAAATTTTGTAGAGGGCGCGAGTGAACTTGCAGTGCTTTGAATTTTGGCGGTAAATGTCAATAGTTTTAAACCGTTTTAATAAGTAGAAGTAAAGATGACTACATATGAACAATGAACAGTGAATAAGTTAAAATATCTTCCAAAACGTTCAGTGGTCCTTAAAGATTATTTTCAAAAGAGTCAGCGTCAGCTTGTCTTGAAACCACACATCAAACTTGACTTTTGAGGTTAAAACTTCATTCGATTATTCACGCGCCAAAATTTGAAAAGCTCCAAGTACAGAAGCGCCCTCTTCAACTCAACTGTCAATATTACATGCCAATACTCCATCCCAAGGTTGAAACTCAATTATCGATTCAGTGTTTTATAATACCGGCCATTAGAAAATTACCTAAACAAATGCAGTGGCGACGCCAGGGTTCTTTGTTAGGGGGGGACAGACTGGACCAGAAAAATTTAGGGGCGGCATTAGTTTTTATTTTACTGCTTTTCTTCTTTGGAATACAAGATGGGAAGTACCTGTCGACAGTATTATGTTTGAGGTAATCCCAGGAAACCGAAAGCAGCATCGCAGTTGCCTGTGCCCAAGAACACTCAACCTAATAGGACTGCTTCTTGAGCTGAAAATGTCTGCCATTTCAGCCGAACACCTCAACACTTGGCGTAAAATGCATTAGCCGAGTTTAAGACAGCCACAGGTCACAATAATCGTTATAATCTTGTTGAAATCACCTTTTCTACATTTAAAATTGACGAAAAAACAAGCACAACTTGAATCGCAAGCATCCCATCGAGGCCCGCGGGTGACGTCATTATTATAAGCTGTTATGCTGCTAATTAGTAGTGACGTCACTCGCAGGCCCTGCCGACTCGAGAATTGACAAACGTACGCCTTATGAGGATGAGAATTCCTGTTAGTTTACGATTCTTGGCCTGTGCTCACCGAATACCGAATTAACCGACAGAGGCTGCTGATGTTACATTGGATTGTTTCCGACATGAGAGCAAGTTTTCAGGGGGGGCCGGCTAAATTTCAGTGGCGTCCCGGCCCCCCCTGGCGTCGCCACTGAACTAATGATGTGGACAGTGAATTTGTTGCGGAAAAAAATACCATTATTTTTAACTGAATATCGATATCAACTAAGTACACTTGGCCAAACATAAAACTGGCACGCATTTTCCTATTGTGTTGTATTGTGTAAATCGACCTTCTTTATCACCTCAATAATGACAAATAGAGTCAAGTCAGTGTCATATTCAAACCAATCAGCTCATAACATAAAAACATGTTGTGTTTACTTTTGTTCAGCTTTGACGTTGACAAAAACTATCTGACCTAAGTGTTTTAGAAGATACTTTTTGTTGTTAAGCCTGACTCACACTAGGCAAATTTAAAAAATATATATTGTCTGTACCAGTTTTATGTTTGGCCAAGTGTACCTCGGAATGCTCAAAAAGGGGCGTGGCACCAAAAAAAATTAGTCTACGGCGGTTGCCTGCGGCGCTAATGGAAATGGTCTTATTATAATACTGCCCCCCCCCTGAGAAATCTCGTAACGACGCCCATGGTCTCCAACATCAAATAACAACAAATAATAATTAATTATTGTTCATAAATTATATTATATTTGATCCTTTACAAGATAGTTATCTCAAATATCCGATTTCCTTGCAAAGAAAATGTGTTCAATCAAACTCATGATTTACCTATACCTAGTGGTTGCACCTCAATCTTGGACAAGGTATGATTAGTACCTATTAGGTAGGTACCTGATGGTACCTGGACTACCTCAAACAAAATATAAAGAAGATATCCATGGACGATTGGTGGGTAGAAACAAAGAAACAAAAGAAAAGACTATAAAATAATTAATAAGAATTTTTGTAAAAAGTTAACACAGAACATATCACCTCTAGAAAAGTATCTGCAATGTTATGTACCGGTTATGAATTACAGCGCCATCGTTGACTGAAAACCCAACTAATCGAGCAACACTACCCCCATCGAGTTATGCCCTAAGTAGGGTATCAGATTAAAGGTCTCGATGTCCCCTATCTAAAAAGTCGATCCTGCCTCGTGAGAACTTGCCGGAAAAGGGTGGCAGGGCAGCTTATTGGGTCAAGGGCCCGCGGTCTCAGCTTTGACACCTATCAAGTTTTACCCTGAATGATGTGTCAAATTAAAGGTGTTAATAAGTTGATTTAAGGTCTCTTCGCACAGAAATCCCAAACCAGAAGGAGTGAATTTCATTGGTTGAAACTAGTTTCCTGACTGTTTCCAACCAATGAAATTCGCTCTGACTGGCTTGTGATTTCTGTGCGAACAGCCCTTAAATCAACTTATTGACACCTTTAATTTGACACATCATTTAGTGCAAAGCTTGATAGGTGTCAAAGCAGAGACCGCGGGCCCTTGCCCAAATAAGCCGTCCTGCCACCGTTTTCCGGCAAGTTCTCACGAGGCAGGATCGACTTGTTGGATAGGGGATATCGAGACCTTCAATCTGATACCCTACTTAGGGCATAACTCGATGGGGGTAGTGTTACGTTTTTTTCAATTTGTTAATAATTTGTTAAAAGATATTTCCGGCAGCATTTGCTCTCAGGCAGGAATACAGGTTAAAAGATGCACATAATACTATAATTGATAATAGTGTCGACACATAACTCGATCGGGGTAGGAAAAATGCGGTCGTCTCCCAGACTAAAGGTGGGTTTATACAGCCACATAACATAACATAAGAAATAACATAACATAAGATAAAAAGTTGACCTTATGGAAACCCCTTATGGCGTTTATACAGAAAATAACATAACATAACATAACATAAGAAATAAGAAAGTTGGTTAACTAACTTTTATGTCTTATTTTATGTGAAAACGGATCTGCGCATGCTCCTCCCTTGATGTCGGCAATGGCGGAGTAGTAAACAAAACATTCCAACCAAAAAAAAAATATATTTTGATTTTGTTTTCAGCTAATGATAATTTTTTGGAATTCGATATTGTTACTGCTAAATTATTAATTAATAATTTTTTTGATCAAATAAGTGTTTTCGGTAGAGTTTACATAAGTACACGTACCAGCTGATTGGTCAGAAATTATTTCTTATGTTATGTTATTTTCTGTATAAACGCCACAAAATTCTTATTTCTTATATTATGTTATGTCTTATTTTATCTTATTTCTTATGTTATGTTATGTGCTGTATAAACCCACCTTAATAGGTGATATGTTTTGTGAAAGTTAATAAAGAAAGCACATACATTTTCTGAAGACTCCTTGTGCAATCAACCTCGAATTCTTATATGGTCCTTCGATGCTCGAACCTTTCTAGATCATTTCAACGCAACAAAATGAATTCTTAAACTATAATCAAGCATTCTAGTGACTTTATACTTCTCGTTATACTCACATTCATTTGTACAAAATAAAAAATCAACACTTCACAATATAGCAATAGAAAAATGACTCCGACAAACGTTCGTTTTAAAAAGTTGAATGTCGGCCCCATAATTCATAATGAATGAATTAGGAATAAATAAGATAAAAAGTATTCAAATTTGAATTGTAGGTACTTTGTTTTTGTTGTTTGTTGTGTTTTTTGAATTGTAAACCTAACCTAACAATGTTGACAGTTGTCTTAATGACAAATCGATATTCTACTCCGTGCGTTCGGTATTCTGATCTGTGTTTTTCGTGCCCATTGTTCGAGCCTAAATTTACCGCTCGGAGCAGGCTCATTCGCATTCGTTTATTAAAATTTCGAATGCTCTGATTCAGCGTTTGCGTGCGCTTGCTGGTCGCTGGTGCTGGTAACGTGATTAGTTACGACTCCCCTTCAATCACTCTTTGAGCAAAATACCGAACGCCGCGAGTTAACTTGTGATGGCGTATTCGACTACCGGCACTAGTGCGCACTCGGCTCGCATTTTGCGAGTGCAGTGCAATAATTTATGTTCGGGTTGATTTAGCTCATAAGCGAGCAAAGATTTCTCGTGATCGACTACCCGAGCAGAGCAATACTTTATGTTCGGATTGTTAGCGTGGTTCGTCCAGCGTTCGAACTTTTTGGAACTGTAATTTTTAGCGGTTCAAGTAGATTGCACTGGATTCTTTGAAAAAATTACCTCAAATTTTTTGAATGTTTGTTTACAAAAAAGTTTGTGAAATATGGATAATAAAAAGGGGAAATTGTTGTTTAGCTGCAGATGTATTATCATCAAATAGTAGTAGCAGTAGCTCAGAAAGTGACGATGATGAATTAAATACTTATGGCTTTTTTTCTTAAAAAGTGCAATAATGGGGCACACACGAACGCTTCAACTCGGACTTTCACGAAGCCAGTTCACTTTTTTTGACAATTCTCACTGACCCAGCGCACGATCGAATCGCCACATACCCGCTCTTGATTTTAGCGCAACTGCACCTTCATTTTTCGAACTATATCGGAGCGCGCTGGGTAGTCGAATACGCCATGAGATTCTTTCCGACTTAAGCCTAGTACTCATAACTGCGAAATTCGCATTTTTTTGACATTGCTTCGACAATTTGATACACGCATAAAACGTCAAATCAATGAACTCGTCAAATTGTCAACGCAATGTCAAAAAAATGCGAATTTCGCAGTTATGAGTACTAGGCTTTAGGGAGGATTTTCATGCATCCGTTTTTCCGACGAAATGTCCGTTTAACATTCTATTCTGACATAATCGTATATAAATATGTCAAAATAGAAGACTTTTCGGACATATTTCGACGGAAAAACGGATGCATGAAAATCCTCCCTTAAGCCTAGTACTCATAACTGCGAAATTCGCACTTTTTTGACATTGCTTCGACAAATTGACGTTTTATGCGTGAATCAAACGTCAAATTGTCGAAGCAATGTCAAAAAAGTGCGAATTTCGCAGTTAGGGTTACTTTTCATGCATCCGTTTATCCGTCAATCCGTTGATCCGAAAGTATTCCTATTGGCGCCAGAATATTGGATCAATAGGAATACTTCCGGATTCTGGCGCCAAAATATTGGGCCAATAGGAATACTTTCGGATAAACGGATTGACGGATAAACGGATGCATGAAAAGTAGGCTTTATGAGTATTAGGCTTTATCCTTGACAAGCATGGCAATCTAAGATGGCAATGTGTGACGTCATAAGTATGCTATATCGTGCGATTAAATTGAAGAAAGTAGAAAATTTTAACTCAATAAAGTCACAAAAGCAAAGGAACAATAAATAATTGAAAACAAAATCGCCCCTCAAGATACGCATTATAGTCGAGAAATCCTAAATTGTTTATTTATGATAATTTAATTTTGGATTCTAATAGGTATTTTTCCTTGTTCAATACCTAATATTATTCTTTTATACGTTATGATACTTTACATTAGTATCGTTGCTTTTGTCGTGTATCACAGCTCCAACATAAACACGACCTAAGACATTTCTAAACAATATAGAATATACGCAGTGTCCCCCATAATGTTCGCTCAAAATGAAGCCCTATTTGAGTCACCCCGCCTGCCCCCGGGGTAGCAAACCTAACGTATTTTTTTCAAATAAGAACCTATTAAGTCAAAATTCTAACCAATAAATCTATTTAGTGCAGCATTTTGCTATTACTGTGTGTCAGATTTGACACATTACGAGGGATATTTATACAGTGAGGACATAAAGTCCGTCGCCCCCCTCTAACTTTTGAACCGCCCGGTATATTTCCACAAAAGGAATGATGATATATGAGCAAATTCTCCATTTTTTGAAAAACAAATGACAGCTTCATCTGTCAAAATGACAGCTGGGTGCAGTTTTGCAACGTTTTTTCAAATAGAAGGCGGTGTCGAGTGATGTATCGTTTTAAAGGTCTCTTTATTCCTAATTTAATCCCCGATTCTGAAAACATTTGGTTTAGCTGTTTTCAAATGATGACAGAAAAACATAGGGCTATTTTGCTCATAAACAATCAGAAAAAAAATATATATATATATTTGTCGGTTTTTTATGCATTATTGTTTTTTTTTCAGTGATAAATAATGACGTAATGACATTGGTAACCTAAAAAAAAAACAAAAGTGCTCCAAAAATAATGATTCAATTACTAAAAAAAAAATTTATGACTAAAATAAGCCTTTTTTGTTTCGTCATCATTTGAAAACCACTAAACCAAATGTTTTCAGATTCAGAATCGGGGATTAAATTATGAATAAAGAAATTTTTAAAACGATATAACTCGACACCGCCTTCTATTTAGAAAAATGTTTCAAAAGTGCCCTCAGCTGTCATTTTGCTATCTGAAGCTGTCATTATTGTGTTTCAAAAAATGGAGAATTTGCTCATATATCATCATTCCAAATTTCGTTGCAATATACCGAACGGTTCAAAAGTTAGAGGGGGGGGCGACAGACTTTATGTCCTCACTGTATAGTGTGTGCCAATTGCAATGATTTCCACTGTACAGGGGTGGGCATTTTATTAGGGGCCTATGTCTTTTCTCAGAAACTACATGGTGTACAAAAAAAATATAAATACAAAAAATTCTTGGTCTTAAGTAATGTTGTCAATTATTTGAGTTTTATTTATACAGGGTGTCCCAAAAGTTCCGCACCGACTTCAAAACCAGAATTTTAAATGAAACACCTTGTATATTTTTACATTTTTGGATTCCTGGAGAAAAATAAAGGTAACTTTCATAAGGACTTCCTATTCGAATTTTGTCTAATTTAGGCAGAAATTGAGGTTATGTATTTTAATAAGCAAATTTATGCTCTCAGCAAATAGTGTCTTGAGCGGCTGGTAGTTGAGATTGTTAAATAAAATTTTAACCACACCTTAAGAAGACTACCTCCTAACGACCTACGATGGCTGGGAACTTTAAATTTATACAGGGTGTCTCAGATCATATAGGACATTTTTTTAAATTTTCAATTGGCAATATCGCAAGTTTTTTTTATGGAACACCCTATATTTGATATTTTTTTGTTAAAAAGGCTGAAAATACCTATCCGCATTCATATATACCGGGTGACCACGAGATTACTGACCAAGCTCTAGTTCAGGCATGAATATCAATATCGATTTCAAGTTTTGAGGATGTATATTATTGATATCGATGCAGAATTTCGCTATAAAAACAATCGACTATCGCTTTTGGTTTGACCGCAAGTGCCATCAACTTCTTTATTTCAACTAGATCACCCCCTATATTATTACATTTTTGGATTCTATGAGAAATTCCTAAGCATATTTTATGTATAATATCCTATACCTAACTTAAACAGTTTTCAAGAAAATCGCGATTGAAAATGTCAAAAAATAATTTCTATTTTAGTTTTGACAGCAAACAATGGATAGTAGGTTGGAACTTTTACGATATTTTTGACTCATTTTAGAAACACTAAAGGGTCCACCACAAAAAATATCAGTTCCGGTTCAATATAAGGTTTTCGGTCGGTCTACCTTTTGAGGTTATGTTACTGCAATAATTTCAATGGTATACCCATACTTGGAACTAAAAATTCGTATTCTAAGAACAATTTTGAATCTTTTTTGTGTACACTTTCCTATACCTAAAGTCTACTGTTTTTGAGATATTTGACACTTGATGTAAGGATGTCTTCGGAACAACGAATACCAAAAACAGTGGCCGAGTTCGTTTTTGTCATGACAGATTTCACATTAGGTTTGTTCGGACTTAGTTCAGAATCAGTTCTGAATTGAACTGCGCTTGCGCATTTGTTCAAATCGAACATAAATAAACAAATGCGCATGCGCAGTTCAATGCAGAACTGATTCTGAACTAAGTCCGAACAAACCTAATGTGGAATCTGTCAAAAAATTATTTTGTCGCCATGGATACGACGAGCGCGGATAATATGACAGTGAGGTGAAATAGTGAATTAGCATGTTTTTTTCAAAAGATGTTATTATTGCAATGGGTATTTCGTGAACTATCAGATTTAGGTATAGGACATATACATATGAATGGATAGGTATTTTTAGCCTTTTCAACAAAAAAATAAAAAATATTAAATATAGGGTGTTCCATAAAAAAAAACTTGGATATTGCCAATTGAAAATTTAAAAAAATGTCCTATGATCTGAGACACCCTGTATAAATTTAAAGCGCCCAGCCATCATAGATCGTTGGGAGGTAGTCTTCTTAAGGTGTGGTTAAAATTTTATTTAACAATCTCAACTACCAGCCGCTCAAGACACTATTTGCTGAGGGCATAAATTAGCTTAAAAAAAATACATAACCTCAATTTCTGCCTAAATTACACAAAATCCGAATAGGGAGTCTTATGAAAGTTACCTTTATTTTTCGCCGGGAATCCAAAAATGTAAAAATATACAAGATGTCCCATTTAAAATTCTGGTTTTGAAATCGGTGCAGCACTTTCGGGACACTCTGTATAAATAAAACTCAAATAATTGACAACATTCCTTAAAACCAAGAATCTTTTGTATTTATATTTTTTTTGTACATCCTGTAGTTTCTGAGAAAAGACATAGGCCCCTAATAAAATGCCCACCCTGTACATCGTTGGATAGCTCTCTGCTTTCCCTTTACCGTCTCATTGGTGCGGGCGCTACTTTGTGTCATGTGTGCAGTTTTATGGCCCCTAGT